TAAGCATTCACCTAAGGACAAATGCATCATGAACCAATTACCTTGCAAAGGTCCTACCTCTCAAATACCATTTACATATGACTTTGGGGATTTAAGTTTCCAACATAAGAAATTTGGAGGACACACTTAAAGCAAATCAGGAGCAATGAGCCTCCTTCCATAGGTAGATAAATTAGAAACACTCTGCAATTGGAGGTCAAAGGTCAGATGATAGTGGCAGTGAAAACTGACAGAAGTAGGCAGGACAGACTGGGGTTAAATTTCAAAGACATGGTTGTCAGGACTTTCTATTGAATGTAATTAGTAGAATATGACAGATATAGAATTAAAGAGGACTCCTGATATAAGCAGATTCACCAAAATGGGGAAGGGAAGGAAATACCTACTATTATGGGCCAAGTTTCAGATGCTTATTAAACATCCAAGTGAAGAAGTAGAGCATAGATGGCTTTTGATAAATACGTGTAATACTACTCCTTTGAGGATAATAAATTCAATTACAAATTTATCTACAAATAAATAAGAGAGCATTCAAAATCTGATGTTAGTCTATTGCTTCGAGGAACAAACAAAAATAGTGGTGGAAATAACCAGGTATCTCAGTTCATTTAACAAAAAACAAGATTTTAGGCAGTCACTAATGCTCTCTGAATCATATTTTTAATAAAAGGATGTTGAATTTTATGTGAGAAACTTTAGATGAATGTTATTAACTCAATTCAAGTACTGTTCCACCTCTCTAGGCCTATAAACACTGGAGTGGTTAAGTGTCAAGTAAGAAGTGAGTAGTGAATCATCAAGTTACTTTCACTAAAAGATAACTAAGTGCTGTATACAAAGCTACCGGAGGAAAAATGTTGATGCTTTTGGCAATGATACACATTTAATCCACTTTATTTTATAATTAATACTTATTAATTATAAAATTAATTATAAATTAATTATAAAAGATATGTTACATTCAGTAAAATTTATCTTTTATTATACAGATTTGAATTTTGATAACCACTTACCAT